ATAAGGATTTGAGAGATCGGAGTAAAAGACTAATTGGACTTAGTCAAAGTACCTACTTGGAGAAGATTCTGAAGAGATTCAGAATGCAAAACTCCAAGAAAGGAGAGTTGCCCATCCAGAGTAGCGCCAAGCTGAGTAAGACACAAAGCCCTAGCACTGAGGCTGAGATAGCAGAAATGAGTCGATTACCTTATGCTTCGGCTGTAGGTTCGATCATGTATGCTATGACGTGTACTCGACCTGATGTAGCCTTTGCCTTGAGCATGGTTAGCAGGTTTCAGGGGAACCCTGGCAAGGCACACTGGATTGCGGTAAAGAATATTCTCAAGTACCTGCGAAGGACTAAGGACTGGGTCCTTACCCTCGGTGGGAGTGATGACTTGAAGTTGTAGGGTATAGTGATGCTAGCTTCCAGACTGATAGGGATAACTTCCGCTCTCAGTCGGGCTGGGTCTTTACCCTAAATGGAGGAGCAATTTCTTGGAAGAGTTCCAAGCAAGAGACAGTGGCAGATTCTACTTGTGAATCAGAGTATATTGCAGCTAGCGAAGCAGCAAAGGAGGCGTTATGGCTGAGGAACTTCATTGGAGACCTTGGAGTTGTACCAGCTATTAAAGAGCCGATGGAAATTTTCTGTGATAGTGAAAGTGCTGTTGCCTTAGCCAAGGAACCAAGGGATCACGGGAGATCCAGACACATCGACAGAAAATACCATTTCATCAGACATCGGATCGAAGAAGGACTCCTCGTGGCAAAGAGGGTATCATCAGATGAGAATCGGCAGATCCCTCACGAAGGGACTGACTCGGGTTAAGCATCTCCAGCATGCTCGGAGCATAGGGCTGAAGGATGATATTAGATTTAGTAGTTAGATAATCTGAAATTTGTAAAGTGTAATTGACATTTGATGATGAATAAAAGTGTTTTATTTATGAGTAAAGTGTTGCTATCTCTTGTCGATCGTTTACTATATTTCTTTTGCATGTTTTGACTTCCAGAATAATTTTGTTTGGTATAACATATTATTCAAACCTCCACAGTCGGTCATATGTCGGAAGTAGGTATGAATCAAGACTGTCATGTTTGGTTGTAGAGGTCTGGGACAAGGCTACAACAATCATGAGTGCTCATAAGTTCTGAGCATTGGACTCAACCCACGCTCACTGGAATCACTTCATGGAATTCTATCTCGAGTGATCGTGAGACGGTAATATCATATAAGTCTTTAAACCTAGAGATATGATTTGTTACTTACGAGTTGGTTATGCATTGATTGTACGAAAAACGCATTGGTAACTCGATGTTATAAAATCGTGCTCTTATGTGTAATTCAATGAGTAGTAGAACAAACATATGAGTCGAAGTTTATCTGTTCCTTCTTGGATTAGAAGCTGATATCTGGGCCCCTCGATGATTTTGTTTTGACCTATGTACCGGGCCCGGTCAGAACTAGATTGATGTGTTCAATAAAGTTCTTTGTCAAACAAATCGGAAATCGGGAAACAAATGTTGGACAATAAGTAAGACATTGTTCCATGTATTTGTCCGACTGATATCTAGAACAGAGGATTATATGATCACTTATCTTAAATGGCGTACCATCATCTTCTCAAGTTTCGAGAAACCTTGTAAAGAGCTACGATTGCCGATCGGTTCCTGAAGTCATACTTGCAGTAATAGTTACTAGACTTATCCAAGTGGGAGACTGTTGGATAAGGTGTCTAAGTCCATAACTATTTCTGGTATGTACTTGACCCGACCCGGCATGGTCCATTTGGGTTGCATGGCACCATGCAATTGGATAAACTAAATGAGAGAAATAACGCTTGGAGATTATTAATATATTATAAGTTCTAATATATTAATAATATTATTTGATTAGTTTGATCAAGAATTAATTTAGAATTAATTAAGTGATCAAAAGATAACTAATTAAATATATGGGTTGATTAAGTAAATCATCCATATCTTGTATAGTGGGCTAAAAGGCTCCATGGATCATCAAGTTGGGTTCCACCCATAGGATGCTCCATGGATGCTCCATGGGAGTTACAAACCCATGGGTCATGGAAATGAAGAGTCATGACACATTAGGGTTTAACCCTAGATGTGTCAACACTATATAAGAAGCATGATCTCCACCAAAATCGGTTGCAACAAAGAAATAGAGGGCTTGGCCGATTTGGAGAAGTGAGTATTCTCTCATAAGTTCTTCCAAGAGTATTTGGTGTTGTGTGAAGAATTTGAGGCATCACCACTTGAGGTGCTAGGCTCACAAGGTTTCAAGGAACACAAGCAACAACAAGGTAAGTTATTCTATCTATACTTTATGTTAAAATTGTTCCCCATGTATGCTAGATAGGAATATAACCTTGGAAATCAACTTTGCATGACAAATTAGACAAACATAGATCCAAGGTTATTAGGGTTGCATGTACACTTAGGAAGTGTTAGAATGCTCAAAACCCATCATGTATATGGGCCACAAAGGCCCAATAAGCATGTGTTGTATATTCTGCGCCCAATAAGCATGTAAATGGACCCCTTAAGACCCCATAAACATGGAAGGTAGGTATTAGGGCCTAATAAGCATGTATATGGACCCTTAAGGCCCAATAATCATGTAATCAATGTATTTAGTCTGTTTGTTATTACATTGTTGGTTCTTGTTCGATTGTTTACCAATATAACATAAAATCCTAGTTTTTGTAATAGTGATATTTTTTGCCCGATATCATGAAAAATGACATCTTCGGCCAAATTCTAGATAAAATCCTAGTTTTTGTAATTGTGATACTTGAGCTCGGCTGATTGCACACGTCACACACCTTGTTCTTTTCAAAGTTCTCTTCTCTTTTCAAACTTCTTTTTTATAAAATGATTTTTACTATTGGAAATTTTCATACCAATTCCTCACTTTGAGTCCAGACACACCCGAGATTGTGCCCGAATCCCTTAAACCAAGGCTCTGATACCAACTTGTAACATCCCAAAAATACAGGCCACAATTTTCATTTTTAAATATGTTATTATAAAACCATCAGTATAATAAAACATCCATAATATCATGTCATGTTAAAACCAAAGTAGAACTAATCAAAACATGTTATCATAAAACAACATCAGAGTATAATCCCCAAGATCTCATGTGCGGAAAACCATAGTGTGATGTGTTGCGATCGAACCGACTCGATTCCTTTGAAAACAAGGTTCCTGAAACCAAAAATGAAAATTGTAAGCACGAAGTTTAGTGAGTTCCCCCATATTACCACAGACCGTACAATTACAATGCGTACATACTGTCGGGCAATTTTGGGGTGCCCGACCTACCTATGTCAAGCCATTCTGGGGTGCTGACTACCTGTGTGAAGCCATTCTGGGGTGCTGACTACCTGTGTCAGGCCATTCTAGTGCGCCTGCCTACCCTCCAGTCTATTTCACTCGGTCACAGGGAACAGTTCACCCCGTACTACTATCACATAATAATATATCATAACATAATAATATTGTCAGACATATATGGGGTGCCCGACCTACCCTTTGGTCCTAACAACCAAACTTGGAGACTATTTGCCTAACTACCAGTATCACATATAACATATCATGCAAACACATAAACATACCTGGTAATAGCAAACCATACAATTATCACAAAGACAATCATCTAAACTATAGTAAACTACAAGTGGGCCGACCTTGGTGCCTTAGACCCACTTCTACTGGAAGGTAACTCACCTCACACCATTGAAGTCTCGTAGACATAACCCCCAGCTGCTAGATGAAATATTCTCGATCTGTCAACATCAAAACATCGCCCAATTAATAATTGGGTTCCAACGCATAACCATAAACACATACTTTGCTAATTACTACATTACCCTAAGGTTGGCTTTATTCAAGCCTAAGGCCCAATCCATAGGCCTAAAGACAACTATGAATCAAAGCCTAACATATGGCCCAATTTTCCATATTAGGACCAAACCTTTGCATGGTCTCATTTTAAGGCCCAACCAAAAGTCCAGTCCATCTTTTAGTATTTTTAATGGCCCAATATCTCATAATCAAATAGGCCTAGACAGTGGCCCATGTATGGCCTAATTTTCCAAATTGGTCCCAAACGTTCATATGGGTCTTACCCTAAGCCCATCAACATATTCTAGTCCATAAGATTATTCTTGGATGGTCCATTAATAATACACTTACCCAAGCCTAATGGAAAAGCCCAACTCAAGGCCCAAGTGAAACTAAGGTTTCACATAAAATGACGATAAGGGTTAAGTGTTTCTCACTTAACCCATTAAGGACTTAACCCACTAAGGACTTAATCCACTAAGTACTTAATCTATTAAGTCCATTATTGCTTAGATTAATTTTTGCCAATGATTATTATTTAATATTTCAAGTTATTAAATAATTCCCGTGTGTGTCTTGATAATTTCTCAAAATTAGGGTTTTATTGGCATTAGGGTTTTCCAAACCCTAATAAGGCTTTCCAACGCAAATACTAGACCATTTATTAGTTTGTTGAGCTTTTAGATCAGTTAGGGATTTATTGGGCCTATTAGGCCCACTAGATTATCATTAAGCCCATTTACGGTTTTATTGGGTCAATTAGGGTCCATTAGGGCTTACAACGCACATTAGGGTTTCAAGCACCCTAAATGAATCAAACTCAACGAGGCAAGCATAACGCCACCCGGCACGACGGCGGTGGCGACAGCCACCACCCTACGGTGGTGGTGTTAGTTTTCTTTTCATTAATCCATTTCTAATTATATTTACAAGGCAAAATCTCAAATAAACACACACCTACTCACAAGATAAACACTCACATGGTGGCAACCAAACACACATATGGCGGCAGCCACAACCTCATGGTGCTGGCAATGGCGGTTTTCGGACTTCCAGCTACACCAAACACACATCCATACACTTCAAGTTGCACTATATACTCCAGCCACCCAGCTGGTGGCTTAGGGCAGCGGTAGTGGCACCGAAAAATGGCAGCAACGGCGTTGACAGCGACAACAACCATGGTTGGCCGCCATGGCGGCTCTTCATGGGTTTCACTGGCCAAACGAGCCTTCAAAATCGAGCAGCACCCACAGCCCACCCCCAAGCTTGCGACTCACAAGCTGAAGCACACCAAAATAGCCTCTTTGGGTTGGCGGATGACGACTGGAACAGTCGGAGAAGAACTAAGTGACGGCAGCGGTTATAATTACATGAAGTACTGAAGATCCAAGAAGAAGGAATGAAGCGAGCAACAGTAGCAGCAACGACAAAGGAGGGCGTTCGTTCGATCTTCTTCTTCTTCTAGGAGGAGAGTAGCGACAACAGCCCCGGGTCATTCCAAGCTTGCATCGACGGTTCACCGCTCATCCTTCGTGAGCAACAATTCTTCATCGTCTTCTCATAACTTTTCCGATAGCGAGATTACAGTGTCGGTGCTCGGAATTGACTAGTCGGCAACCGGTGATGGGAGATACAAGGTTGGCGGACGAAGGAGAAGGAGGGTTGAGAGGGTGGCGGCTGTAAACATAGCTAGGGTTAGGGTTACACGGTATGTTAGCCGATCACCAATCTAACTTATTGCCATAATAGCATAACCAGTCCCTGCCCATAAAATTCTTTCTAACTATGATCCAAAATTTACCATTCGAACCTTGCATCCTAAATCCTTTATAAATAAAGTCCGAATTTTACGTTTTTAACCCCATCCAACCAAAAACCCTTCAAATTAAGTCCTCTTGATTACCATACAACTCCTCCTCTACAATTATTTTCAAATAAGGTGCATAATTAATGCTTTAGCCCCTATTTTCATAAATACTTTCATATTAGGTTTAAAACTTACCAAACGTCCCCATGTCTTCTAAAATATTTTCAAAGTAAATGTTAAATTTTTACTTTAACCCTCGAATAATCCAACTTATGGCGTTTGGCTTCCCAAATCAATACCCAGCTATATAATTAAAATTTTAGGGCTACGATTCATTCAGTAATTTCGTTTATTTATTTATGAAATAAACGAGGTGTTACATGAAGCGGAGGATATTGCTTGAAAGAGAAGGATAAAAAAAATAAAGAGATTTGAAAATCTGAAGAACGGCACAATTGACTAAAATCTAAATTCTCTCTAGTTTGTTGTATAGCCACCATATTTTCCATTATTGCCATATCTGAAAGGATTTGGAGTCATAAAGAAATATTAGGCTTATGAGGAGTCCCAACCATACTAGTTGAAAATCTGGTTAGGCAAAGTTGAGCCAACAACTTTAAAAATGGGTGGCTTTCTAGGAGGCAAACCACATAGTTCTACTATATTTTTTTTCTGGTTTCAATAAAGAGATGGTGTAGGATCCTATTTTATCGATTGGCTCGGTGTGTCAGATATTACAAAGAAGACAATCATGTATGAACATAAAGAACATAATATGTGAATAAAACTGTAGTAGATAGATAGAGAGATATAAAATATTACAAGAACACTCATGGGTTGGGAGAGATAACTCTCCCTTGGTGGGAGACATCCCACCACACCCTCACTAATCTGCAAAGTCAACATAGTGCACTCTTACTAAACCAATGACCATCACCTCCACTTTATATACTAGTAGAGGGAATATGCTTTACATACAAGGGAATATGCTAACCTAATAAACACTCAACATTGTAGAGCATTTTCATGCACTAAAAATCTCCCCCTAAATGCTCAGAATTGGTGAGGGTAAAGAAGTGTTAAAAGGTAGAACATCTGACAGGCATGTTCGGTAGGTCTGGTGGTGAAGCGTCTCGGAAAAGATGAAGCTGTTGTGATCTAGGAATTTGGCAATGGAATCTCTATCATCAAAGAACATAAAGAGAAACCCTAATCTCAAAATAAAAGTATGAAATCCTAATCTTAGAATGTGATTAGTCCCCAAAAACCAATAATGTTCATAGTCTCCCCCTCAACTGTAGAACCGAAGAGCCTAATCTCGAGTCATACAACGTCTTCAATATTCCAAAATAGAATGATAATGCACCAAATAATATCTGAAGAATAACCTGCTGAAAATGTGAAGCATCCAAAAGTGAAGTATGAATAATAAATAATATGCATCTGAATACATGGTCTAGCAATGCCAAAAATTTGATCGTGAGATCAAAAATAAGTGCCACACCGCATTGCTAAAATAATCAACGTCTTCAAAATATCGCAAATCCAAACTCGAGAAATCATAATATGTGAAGCAGATGCAAACACAAACGAGAAGACCCAAAGTATAGATTCGAAAGATAATTAATCATAATCCAAAGAACATCAAGTAATGCCAAAAATTCGATATGTTAAGACCAAAAATCAGTGCCACGTCACACAACTAAATGAATATTCATCTTCAAATGTCTCTAACATCAAAACTCCAATAATAAACCAGAATGGATGCTCATGATTCTCCCCCTATAACCAAGATGTTAAATGTTCATGACAATATGTTGAATGCTTCCAACGAAGTCATTAAGAAAACACATATTCGTCATGAGAAGCAAATCCAACGACTGGAAAAGGAGACCAGGAAGAAGGATGAAATGATTTTTATCATACAACAACTCCTCATTAAGCTTCTTTATTTATGTTGTAACATTGTAGATGTTCGGAACCAAAAGTTTGATGTGATGATCTCTATACTCTCCTATTTATTCAACAATCTCAAAGCTCAAGCCCCCGCTATTGATGCTTATGACTCCCTCATACTTCAAATCAACACCAAAGGTGGTTGAAATTTTTTCCAAAGTGAAGGTGTCACTTATTCTTGCTCTGGTTGTCAGGCCTACTGGTGCAAGGGGGGTGAAGTTCCAAGTCAACCTTGGAAGACTGCCTTGGATTTCCAACTCCGAGATGAAGATTACAATTCCGATGATGAAGTCCAAGTTCTTTCCGGACTTCTAGGGAACAATGTTGATGCTAATGAACGTGATGAAGAGGAAGAGGAGTTCATCAAAAATGTTGTCATTTGTCACACCCCAAAACCAGGAACGGCGGAAACGTTCTGGGGCGGAGGACGTCATGTACAGTATCACAACAGTGTAATATAAGTAAACAAGCAACAACATCATCCATTTAACAATTTACATGGTCTTTATAATAGATTTTCACAAACAAGGCAATGACACTTATATAATTATGAATTCACCAGCTTTAAAGCTGATACTCGCTTTCAAAATAACTTGTATTCTCAGGTCATCAGTAGACAGGTACGGAGGCCTGGTTTTTGAGAAGATGGAGCAGACAAGTCTCGTCTTTTATTTTGATTGTATATTTTGGTGTCTTACCACAATGAAAGAAAACACATGTATCAAAACTTTACTTATAATGCAATGGATGATGTTGTTGCTTGTTCACTTATATTACACTGTTGTGATACTATACATGACGTCCTCCGCCCCAAAACGTTTCCGCCGTTCCTGGTTTTGGGGTGTGACAGATTGGTATCAGAGCATTGTTTATAGTGAATATAGTATATCAACCCATAAAAGATATACTAACTATAAATACATGGGATTAAAACACTTTGTCTAAGAGTTATGCTTATAAATAATAAAATATTTAAGTAAGTATACGTGCCTGCATTCATACTAAAATTAGTGTCACAATGATCAGAACAAAAGTATTACGATTGTTGAATATCACAAGTAAGCGTGGGGATATATGGCCAGTCTTGGGAATGGCATAGCTTGATCAACTATGCTGGTCCGAGGAGTGATTAGCATATACCCAAGAATGGTTGTGATGTGGCGACAAGTCTAAAAACTTACCAACATTACCACAATGAGAACATTACAATAGAACATATCCTTAAAACTAAAATAGTATATGAGTATTTGGTGTTACTATAAGTACTTTACACTTGAGAATTTAAAACGGGATCTTCATCACTAAGTTGATAGTTGCTAAGTGGATACACTAAGGCTATATGTAATTAGGATGTTATAGACTTAGAATCTGTGAAAATTTTGCCTTACCCCTCATCTGTGTGAATTTGGAATTAAGGTCACTTATTCTAAGGTCTATCCTGTTTAGATTACACATAGCTGGTATGCGCTTCACAAATAGCGATGTAACTAATGAAGGTTTTCTAAATAATTATCTAGATAGTTCGTCTAATAATTATTCTCTTACCCAAAATTCTCGCATAGAAAACATAACTGGACTCCATCCCCTCGGCAACCAGTATCTTCCGAATGAAGTCATAGCTGGTTGGTTTGGAGAATAACCAGAGAATGATCATCCTTTTCCCCTTGAATGATCACCATGACGAAGACTTTTCGTATGATGCTAACTCCGAACCAGAGGTTGAAAACCTACCCCGAGCAGCTCGTTTTTCAAATTCCTAACCCTCGTCTGGCTTTTTCGTGGCCCGACCTGAGTAAGTGGAATGTTTGGAAACATGGAGCCAAGGACAAGCTCAGTCTAAGCCATTTATTGGCGACCGAAGCTTTTACGACTTGAGCAATGGGGACTCAACAGATAGAGTCTTGCCAATCTTGGTCCGCAAAGTGGCTCGAAATGAGATTCAAGGCAGGACAGCCCTACATCAGATTACAGAAGTAGTCGCCTATGCTAGAATGCATACCCTCCATCCCATTCATCTAGAAGATGCTCACGGGAAATCAGAAAGAAACCATGAAACCCTGCTGCAAGCACTGGCCGAATCACGAGCTGAAGTCATGGAACTTCGAGTACGCCTTAGGGTGTACGAAAGACACTTACTTGTTATGGAACGTCAACTGGTTGAACTGAGAGTTCACCAGGAGGATGATCGTCTCCAGTAGTAGATGCTTTACTTTATTTCCCTTTTAAAAAGGAATCGTGTTTTTCTGTCTATGCCTGATGTGGCATTTTCTATGAAATTATCTTGTTCCGTAAGTACTTTGGCTAGGTCTTTATGCTGTCAGGAACTATCTTCTCCGGATATGATGTGAGACCTTTACAAGGTCATTTTCCAGAATCCTTACATCGTGAATATCAAATATATTGACAGCCGGCTAACTTCTGTGTCATTCTTCATTTAAGTACTCTTATCATTCTTTCATTAGAGTATATCTGAATCATGCTTTAGTCAAGTCATTGGACTATAGTGATTTATCTCCGGAGACATTTCCAAGTCTCTTTCAGTGGTTGGATCTTGTTATTCACCAACCCATGATACCTCAACTCGAACAACAAACGTATTGAGACCATTCTACGAACTTATTTCCACCCGTTACTAGGACTGCATCATAGGAATGTAGGTCAAACTTTCATAAACACACTTCTACTCAGTACTAGGACTACATTGTAGAGATGTAGGTCAAACCTTCGCGATCATACCTCCCTTTCCGTGTTAGGACTGCCTCATAGGGATGTAGGTCAAACTTTCGAGAACATAGTCGTACTCTTTACATGAACAATCTAAGTACATCAGGGTCAACCAAAATCGCT